TGTAAATGTTTCAAAGCCTGCAACTATGGTGTGAAGGAAGCAAGGGGTGCTCTCCCGATGGTCTTATTTTTGACTCGCTCGGCGGTTTCGCCCTCCAAAATGTTGCCATGTTAAGATACGACAGCGAGTGGTATACGAATACTATGACAAATTAATCGAGTTTTTGAAATAGGAGAATTTCTGGACATATTGCGAGATCATGTAAAAACCGAGCAGTAAAGGCAAACAGTGTTGCCACTTGTTCATTTCTTTATTTCACCCTTTTAAACTGACGCTGGATTTGGGGACCTTTTCGTGTGTTGGTTAATAAATTGGCTACATTTTGGAACTGTACTATGGCCCGTCAAAAGGGCTGCGCGATGGCACACTTTGTCTTCTTTGCATCGAATTTGCTATTTTTATGGAAAGATGTGACCGACAGGGGTTTTCCATCGTATTGAAGCTTTTCGTCTAAGGTGCTGTTGTTACATTATTTGATAGTTTTTGGATCGTGGACCCAGGGTTTTAAGCTGGCACGACCGCGTTAGCGCAATCAAGTACCGACCGCAGTGGGTATCACATAGAAAGCGACGCGTCGACGCGTCGAGAATGAATAACCAATCGGAACTACGCTTAACCTCGTGCGTCACAGTTTTGCCCATGAAGTAGCATAAAGAGCTCTCACTCTACGGGGTTTTCCGGAAATTATTGACCTCAGGTTTCTCTGCCAAGTTTGCCGACAGTGACGCCAGCGATCCTTGCGGAAAAAATGTTGAAACTCGATTATGCAATATGGCGGCGCTGAATATGAGTCACGTGTGTTACTACGTGCGGCACAGATGTAAACACGGTCGGCTTGTGTCACCGGTCTTGTCATTTTTATTTATTAATATTTGTAAAGTATTAAGTAATAAGAGCCTCGGTGGTTAATTAATTGGTTCTCTGATTAGCATTTACATTTTAAATGATATTATGACGACATAAAATGATATCGTGTCGACGAAAATCTAAAAGCGATGAATTTCTCCGGGAGAATCGCTGGTGTTACTATTGGCTAACTTGGTAACGAAATATAGAGTTACTTTTAAAAGGAAGTGGAAGCTGCTAATGCTCTTTCATGGTTCCGCCATTCCAATTGAGATCCTGATCTATTGTTCATCCCCGACGACGATGACGCGCCGCGCTCTGCGGGACATCCGACGCGCTCTGTGAGACTCCGGCCTAAAGACCTGCCCAGCAAACACGGTTTCGTAGGAACGATATAATCGTTACAAATGTTGGTGTAACATTTAATATACCGTACATGATACTTATATGTACAATTAACTATATTATTTTCCCCGCAGGTACATAACACTATTATAAAATGAACAATGTGACATACATATAACCTTCCGGTATTATATCATGCGTCATTTTAATAACGTATGACTGCAATGTCAACTGTTTTGTAACGACGTTACGTATTGATAATAATTCGATATTATATAAAATCACCGTATGCTCTGAATAACTTTCAACTAATTGAACACATTTTTGACCAAGCATACCTTGGTTAAATGACATTGCGAAACGCAACATCGTCTTAAGGCGTCTAAGAGAAAGTAAAAGATTTTATAAAATTCTCAAGAGTGGTGAATTTAGCGGATAAGAGAGAACTTTGAATTAGGAATTTTGAACGTGAGACTCTCGTCTGCATTTTGCCAGATTCCAAATGGGAAATGAAAAAAAAAAAAACGGCATTTAATTACCGAGTTAAACAAAAGTTCTGAAAATACAGTAATAATGCCTGATTAACGTACAAAGTACTTCTGAGCGTAGAGCCGGGTAGAAACATTTGAGAGAATTCATTATTACAGTATATCTGTACCAAAGATTCCGGGAGATTACGTAAAACCGTAGAATTGTTTTCTAGTAAACACGAAAATCTCAGATTATTAATAATCTAAAAAATAAGTTTCATTGATATCTTATACTATTTCTTTTTTCTATCATGAGTAGATTTTGAACATACAACGCTGAACTGTTTATTCGTAGGTGACCCAAAGTCATCTCAAAAGAATGAACTATCGCGTTGATACAATTGTACCCTCAACCCTCTAATTAACAATAAAACGATTAATTATTTCCATGTTATATCAAAAACGTGTTCTCTGAGTGTCGTACTGCATCAAAACCGTGCTCTCAGAATGTCGTGCTACATCAAAATCCCGTTTCAAGTTAACCCCGCTAAATCAGGGTGACGGGAAAATTTGTGCTAACCGATGGTAGTCAAAATGAATAAAGTCGTGCTCCATGGAAACCGTACCATAATAATATCGCGTCCCATTAGAGCTGTCGCAATTTTAGCATCGTGTTACATCGAAACGGTGTTTCCAGAGTAGCGTTACACGAGGGTTGAATGTGTTCGTCTCGCGATAAGAAGAAAACGGTTTCGCGTTATTCCGTCACGAGGACATCGGGGTCACTTGACAGCGTCTTGGACCGTTAATTATCAAACTTCGATAAAGCGATTAGACGGTAAAAATGCAGGAAGACTCGCAATTATTTTCTGCTGTACCCTCGACGTGACAGAAAGTTACCCGTCACGCGACGGTCATTGTTTTGGGCTCGTGACAGCGTCAAGGTTCAAGCAATAGGAAAATATTGCGTATTGTATGACATAAAATTGTTGCAAAATCGAATAAACCTTTATATGTGTTTTGGAAGCTTTAAAAAAAAATATGTATATATATATATCGTCGTTAACTTCAAATAATGTCGAATTCGAAACTATTACAGGCTGTCTATTTCAGAAACGCGATGAACTCGACCGCAAGAATCGGTAAACGTGTGCTTACATCGTATCGAGTGCTTACGGCGTTGTTGACAGGACGAGCTGTCACACGCCGAGCGCGCGCCGATTCGTGACAGAAACTGAATCGAGCTTAGGTCTGGTTTACGCTTTCATCCTAACCCTAACTTAATTGTTCCCAGGGAAGAATTCATAGAGGGCGTTTATACCTTCATCCGAACCCTTTGTCCTCGCTTTGAAAAGTTTCCAACTTTGAATTGATCTCAAGAACCCAAGGAAAGGCGCATGCGCGTTCTACGAAAAAGTGCGCGCAGTTCGAACACGCACATAACCTCAGCAATTGAGTCCGCTTTCGTTCCTCGTCCCAGCAGTCGTTTGGATAACGGCGAAATTAAGCGACGCTGCCGAACCATTTCATTTGCGCTCCTAGAATACCGGACGTATTGCGCATGAGCTGCAGAACATCGTAGGCACGGAACCCCATTGGTCGGAACGAAGATCGAGGAAGAATTAGGACTCGAGGACAAACGGTCCCAGAGAAATTAGAATAGGGGAAAGAATACGTTAGGGTTAAGACGAAGCATAAACGAGAAATAAACGGAGAATAAACCGGGCGTAAACCAGACACTAGGGTTATGTTAGGGTTAGGGTTAGGACGAAAGCATAACCCAGGCTCTAGGAGGACGCGGCGAGTTGACAGAAGTCGGGCCTGTCATCGCGTCAGTGCGCGGAAGACGCGCTGGCGAGTCGCCGCGAGAGGATGGATTCCGCTGTCACGAGGCCGCGCGCGCCTCGACTCGTTATCGCGAGGTCGCGGCGAGATGACATCGCTCGTCCCGACTGTCAACGGTCGCGACCGGGACGCCGCCTCGGCTCGGCGCATCCTCGCGGTCGGGCGCGCGCCGCGGTGGAAACGCTCAGGAACGCCTACCTCTCATTTGAGCCACCTTCGGGCCCACCAGGATGCGGCCTCGGTCCGACTCGCCGGCGGCGCCGCGCCGCCCGGGAGGCCTGCCGTCGCTTCGCCCTCGCTCTGGCAGAGACCGCGAATTATATCACGATGTCATAACAAAAGGGGACGCTCGAACATGGCTGGTGGACTGGCGCGATTATCGTGGGCTCCGCACTTTCACGAGACATCGCGACACGTCGCTCCGCTGGGTCGACGGCGCGGCCGCCGAGTCGCGCGCACCACGCCGGACTCGCGGACTCGCGTGCTGGGTGGACGGCCGGGCGCGACGCGTACGCCGAGGGTGAAGGCACTCGACCTTTTTTTTACTGGATACACTCCGAATCGAACAAAAATACACTGCTAACAAGTGTCAGCCATCTTGAATCGGGCCCAAGCACAGCCCGTGTCCCGTCGTGCCTCACTACCGCTCGGCTCGAGCTCGCAAGAGTGGCCACCGCGCACCGGGTACTAAGAGCGCGCACCGCCTTTAAAGACTCCGGCCGAGTGGCGCTGCGCGCGTGCGCGCCACTCCGCGCGGATCCGCGCAGGTCCGCGCAGGTTCGACCGTTACGGCGTTGCATGGCAAGGATCGCCGGTCGCGGAAAGGACACCCCTGGTAGTTTGGTGGAGGTCGTGTTCCCGCAGATAATGGAAGCAGCAACGTAGATAATTTGTATGACGGTATTATGGATCTTGTGCTGCTTGGATATGGAAATATTTGTAGCGAACTTAATTCTTACTTTCGCCATCTGTGGACTGGAGGAGGAACTTACGGGGCGATGTTATCGACCTTGTAACGCTCTAATGTTTGGATGATCCATGGTTCTATTCGTTAGGTGATTTCCTGGATGAAGTTTATTGTGCTCGAGCAATTAAGCGTCTCTTGTGAATTATGATAGTTTTTGTTGATGTTAATTCTTCGTTTGCAATTGAAGTAACGTTTATGGTGTGCCCTGTGAATATTTCAATGTTCGCGCGTTATCATCGATAGTAGCCTGGGACATGCCTAGGTAGCGTTGACATCGCGCTTCGATTTTCAAATTTAACAACTCTTTCGTAATTAGAATAAACCTTTTAATTTATAATTCATTTTTCTACTCAAATTAGTTACTGTTTTCTTAATTAAATATGTCTGTAAAATAACCAGTTCTAATGTAATGGCGAGTTAAGGTACTTTAATGCTATCGATCTTACGAGAAAGAGGAAAGCCAATGTTACGTTTCCGATACATTAGGATTGATCAATAATGGATAAGTATAATAAATTAACGGAAAAATGTATGAAGAATGTATCTTTATTCAATTATAGTTTCATTTCTTGTAACTATTTGATATTTTGTACCTCAATTTTCGCTTTGCTCCTGTGTTACACTTGCGGTGTAAAAAATACAATATGAACATTATTGTACATTATTTTTGAAGACCAAAAAAGTGTAGATTTGTCAACAGTACGATAAGAATGTATTTACTGAATACTTCTATAAAGAGAAATGGTAAGATATCAAATTAAAAAGAATAAGGAATACTTACAGTAAAACATGGTTAGCAAACATGTTCTTAATTTTCTTTTTTATCATTTTGCTGCTTAACTGGTTGCTATTATATTTAGCATAAATATTTGATATCTAACCATTGTATGTTGCATAAAAAATTGTGTGATTTATAGTAAGTATTAAATTTTAATGAAATATGAAGTACTAGTGTAAACAAGTACTTTTGTTCTGTATATATATATATATGTATAGTGTATGTGTAATGTTTTACTCTATTAGTCATTCAGAGAATAATACTATTTGTGATATACGCTATAAGAAATTAGAATCGTATTAATGTACTTACATACATGTACATTTTGTGCTAATTTTATGTCACTTTTATATCTATATTTTCATCTATTATATACGTGACATAAATAGGTAGGACTGAACTAAAATACAAAGTAATAAAAATATAGATGGTTGTGCAATATTCGAACGACTTAAAAAAGGATAGAAGAAATCATATGGCAAATTTATGTCCAAATTAGGACCACCAACAAAGTGAAACTTCGTTGGTTGAGACATATCATAAAACATTACATAACTAATAACATCGATACTTAAGTTATCCGTACAATTAATACCTGAACATTTTGACCAGAACAGATCAACTTCATCAGAAAATGTAATTTTTATACTTAAAATTTTGTGGTTATTTAGATTTTCAGGTTTTGCTATAGAGGAATGTAAAACATCTGTTCTAAGAGATGTAATTAGGCCAGAACAGCGAATATGGTTTTGAACGATCTGTCCAGTTACAACATTATTTGGTACTCTATCTAAGAAAATTTGAGTCCAACTGGCAGTATCATTGATTGAAATTTTACCCAATTTTGATACATAAATTATATACTGCCCAATTTCTGTGATATTGAACAAGGATTGACCCAACAACATTTTAAGGGTTTCGTTTTGTATTCTTATACATGAATTAGTACTGAAGTTATTTGTTTTGATGTTAATTGTACATCGTAATTTAATGTCTTCCCCAAAACCAACTTTATATCGGTTAATTTTATCACATTCTCCACTTCTCATAGCTTGTGGCAAAGTAAAAATATAATTTGTCTTATTAACTGATATGAATTGAATTTCTTCATCACTAGTTTTATTAGTTATTAATGTTCCAATAATAATTGGTTTACCTATAATATATCCTGGATAGCCGCTGATATCAAATGTATTTATTCTATCTTTGTCTGCCCATTCATAAACCACTTCAAAATTCTGGTAAAATTTGTCAGAAACATCACCAAGCTTAAAATAAATGTCAATATTCTTAATGCCCATTGTTCCATTGTGGATAATTACAAAACGTACACTTTGTATGATATTTCGGCACCTATTGTTTGAGCAGGATGCAATAACATTATCCGTATCATTACAAAAGACCCAAGAGTCCAAGCAGTAATGAGTAACAAGCGGAAGGCATACATTTTTCGGACATGTCTGCAAATAATCTTGTTATATTAAAACTCCAGCTATCGAAATGAAATCAATTTAAAACAGATCTAATATGGTAGCAGTACCTGATTCTGTGATATGATGGAAGTTTCATTAAATAACAGGGGTGATGCGATGATACTGAAGTTGTTGAATGTTGATGGAAATAAAAACGTATTTTGATTACTCAGCTCAGTTTGTAAACAAGAACCCTTCCAATCTCGAAGATATTTTATAACTTTTTTGAATGAGCAATATGCAGTAAACCCTGTATTTAGCAGATCTGAAATTTGTATGTAATATATTGTTACATCATGGCAAAAAGTAAATCTTCTTTCGATAAACAAAGTCTTACATAATGGCTGAATGAGGTTTGATTCCAGTTTCCATAATATGTCACCATCTCTGTAAGGCTCAGTAATATTAAATTGGGGTGGAGTCTCCACTGTCTCCCATTGCCATTTGAATTTCTTATGCACAAATCCATTGACAATATTATCAAACTCGTTTTGGTTTTTAACATCCTTAAATAGTAATAAGGAAAGAAATATTAGATTCATTCTTTCCAATTTCCCATTAAGATGCAAACAAATTAGCTTACCACGGCGTTACTTGCACTATATGCAGGTGGAAGATTATCGTAAGCAATACAGAATAAGTTGCTTGTTAATCTCTCTAATAAAAACTTTGTATTGTTGTAATCGATAAAATTCTTATCATAACAGTAACGTTTATCATAGACTTTTGCATTGCGATCCGTGCATGATGAAAATGCAGCAACATGAAATTCGCTGCATTTGGGGTCACAGCAGCAGTTAATGTCGCATGACGAAGCCTGTAAGAATTGTATGAAATAGTAGATATTTTCATATGGTAAATAATTTTAAGTTTTAAAAATGACAGAGTGGATACCTTTGAATCGCATTCACAAAACTCTGATTGCCTTCTTTGTATTATTGTACTCTTTGTTCGTAGAACTTTTTGTATTGTCTGATTAAATGCTGTATTTATTATAGGTGATTGATGGGGTTTCATCGTGGCCGTAACAGCAATTTTACTAGTTTCTGTGGCCATTGAAATTTCCTGTATCTCTGTTTTATTTGAATCTTCTGTCGTCATTGTGAATTCTTGAACTGTACTTTGTGAGAAACTATCTGTTGTTAAGATCGTAGTATTGCTTATAGCAGTTTCACAGCCAACATGGTAATAACTTAGGTCTATTAGGAGGAAGATAATTGACCCTACTGTTTTCATTTTCATCTAAAATAGTGTCACCACGTTACTAAATACAAATGAAGTAGATTATATAATTCATAAATACTTCTATAAAGTATTTTAATATTTATATCTTCTTGTAGCACTTTGGCATAATTAAAATGTACAAAATTTGTACAAGGGCACTTTATCGTAAGAGCAGGTTTATAATCATATGTTGGTGATATTTTACAAATTGCATCCAAACTTATCAAAGTTTTTAGCAAGGATATGCAAATTAATATTCACAGAACCCATACTCTCAGTGAGCAGTTCAAATCTATCCTGCGTGTTACACAAAACACTTGGAGACTTCAGTTGTAACGTGACACCTAGGAATTTGTCCTTTAGTCTGTCTTTCCAATCACCTAGGTATGTAATAATTGTTAATTAGAATATATTGTAATAGATATGGCGCTTTTAAATAAATGATTTACCAATCGGTTTCCATGTATGGCATTCGAGAGAATGGAAACCAGGAGATAATGGAACAGAGCAAACTCCATAAGCAATAAATAAGACTCTACTATGATTATCTCTACAAAATATCTGTAAAAGCACTTTCGGAGAGCCCTGAAGCGTTTGCGTTGTATAATGTATGTCAATGGGATGATCCCAAACTGGAACATTTGTGTAAAAGTCACAACATTCTTGTGTTTGACCTTCCGTAATTCCACTTACAACTCTCCAATTGCTGCCTGAAATAAGCAATTTTGCACAATTAACTATTTACATTTTTTCATAAGATAAAAATGAAGATTCTTTTAATCTGTTACTGTTTTAATATTACATCACCTGTATGAAAGCTCCATTTGCATAAAAGTCGCGGTTGTTGAAAGTATTTTGCTGACGATATTTGACCAATTATGTGTAACTCAGCCATAGCATACAACCATGTTGTTTATCTGTAAGCAATCATTTTTTATATAATTCAACATCGAATGATAAAAAATCAATCATTAACAATATATTGGCTGCGTAACTCTGTATAAAAAAAATGCAATTCGTTCATAAATATTAAAAATTCCAAATAGGATTTTATCAGCCTCTTTAATTGCACCAAAATTTGTCAATAATTATATACAATTACTTTGAAAACATATTTAGTTACGGTTTGTTATTTCTTCATTCTTTTGTAATTCAGATAGTGAACAAAGAAATGTTAATTTAGGCATTATTTCATATAAAGATAACTTAGCATTCGATAAAGTACTGTAGTCAATTACAAGTATTTGTAACATTGGAAGTTTTATTGATATAATCTGAACGGTTTGTTTTATGTGAATTGAAGTTTGTGTCTGCAAACAATAAATACTTTACCTGTTTTCTTAAAAGTACGTATTAAATAAACTATTTGGGAAAGTTATTTTACGAATGAGTTCCTTTTCAATGAAACAACTAATAAGCACTTTGTAGAACACAACAAACCGTCAACAAGAATTTGATACAATAAGCGTAACCATAGCAACCATTAGTGACAACTTGGACACAAACGTAAGATCTAATGTAAGTCCATCTGTACGCTAGTTCGGGGAAGGAAGACTAGGTGTGATCTTATTTTTCAATCTTGCTGTATGTATGTACATATGTACAGTTTGTATGTAGTTTTCACTTTTATCATTTTTCCATGCATGCCGTAAATTATTCTGAGATAATTAACATTAAATCCATCGATAATTTATAGCCCCATTATATTTTCTACATCAGATTAAGTATTTCCTCCTTATCATGACGTCATAACTTTCAAGATGGACGCCTTACCGACATGTGGTATGCAGACACCGTTTGAACTACAGTCGGTTCATTATTGTGGATGAATATTATTACTCACTCCCCAGGTAGCGCTCGGATTGTAGCGACGGCGGTAAATGGAGGTAAATGCAAAACTATTTTTACAATAATCATTTCAGGTTCAGGGGCGTTGCGATACATTGCAAAATTCGAAAAAACACGGATTATGGTGTAAGTAAAAGTGACATTATTTTTTGGCATTCTAACGATTCTGTTGAAGATGTGCAGAATGGGTATTGGGTACAAAACATGATACGTTATAACGTACCTACCCTTATAATATACGAGTGTGAGTAGTAACAAGTAGTGTACCGTGTACCGGTAAGGAAAAGCATTCAAATCATACCAGTTCAATTCGAGGTGAACACAGCTGAAGTTCAGCGTCGAAATCTCAAGATGGCGGGGTGTGTTCAAATTTCATTTCCGTTAAAACTAAACCGTTTTATTGAACAACATTGAAGAGGACCAAATGTCTATGCGTAAATTGCCTGCAATGTATCTGGAAATTTGTATGAAGGTATATAATTATATACTCTTACTTTAATTTCAAGGTAGTAAGGTTTAATTGCCGAAGGAGCACGATATTACGAACTATAGTTATTTAACAAAAAAGTTTGTATATTGCGTTTCTGAAATCATGGTTATTGAACGAAGCACACCCGCGTGCTTCCGCATCGCTTTTTCAATCCGTCGCGTGTTCATCGGTCGCTACTTACTGTTGCAGGAAGCCATTTAATGCGATGCATGTGCGATAGTGTCGGATAAGCTTAATTCTAACACCGGAGGGGGGCGTCTAAGTTGATCAACATTTATCGGCTTCGTATACTAAAAGTTGTCAACGACTGTCAGCGTGTTCATCGAAAAAAAACTGCCGGCTTTAAGAGATATTCGTATCGTGAAATTATATCAACTTGCAGTTAAACGTATGTTTATTCTAATATGATTATATTTTTATAAGTATAGTACATACATGAGTGGAAGACAGAGAATGATGAAACATTTTACTTGCATAATCGCACTTGAAAGTTTATTATAAATGAATTAGACTGGATGGTGACTTAAATGAACAAGTTGATACTTGGCTGGTGTATATGTTATAAAAAAGATATCACGACTCTGCATCTTATTACGGTATAGTTACGGTACACTTTCGCGTCTCTTTCTCTACGCAATTTCCTGCAGATATATGAAGGTCAAGTTTTTCAGGACATTATTCTAAATCTGTCGAAAGGAGAGGGCAATAAAAGAGCTTTTTATTTTACAATATCACAGATCGCGAGCAAAATGCACATTTCAACTTTATCTTCATGGCAGCGGCGACACAGGCACCCCGGCCACCGCGTTATAAACCATCCCGTCGCCGTATATCTCCATAATCCCAGCTGCATAGTTATTGCTTACTATATTAACCGTTTTACTACGATAATGTGACCATTTTGCGGTGAGTTATTGTGAACAACGATTTATTCGCGAGTATGTATGGAATATGATGGACAGAGATGCCAATGTTGCTTTTAATTCTGAAAAAATTGAGTACCGAATTATAGTAGATGACCATCTGCCGATGGTTGCAACTATTTCATTCTCTGCGGGTATCGCGTGGAATTTTCCTCTTCATCTTGAAAATAATCTGCTTTTTGAACAGTATGCTAAGTGGTTTAGAAGATGATACTATGTTAATCATAAAAAGCGAAAAGGAATGCAAGACTCAGGGGGGGGGGGAGATATGGTTAATAATAAACATGTATAATGGCTTAGGTGTAATTGTAACTGACAATATTTTATTTTTAAATCAGTATTTGCTCATCCAACAATTGAACAAGCGGCAATATGACTTATGTAGCGAACAATAGTTAAAAATTTACAATTATTTTCGAGTTACTCTGTTTAATTAGACTTACATGTTTTCGCACACCGCCACCATCTTGAACCAGGGCGTATTCTTGATTACATTAGGTGTTCTCCCATCCGCTAAATTACGTACTCATTAGATTATCGGAGGTAATTGTTATTACAAGTTCGTTGAAAATACTGACCCACTCACGGTATTACAAAATCGTAAGTCTTCCTAGAGATTTTCTATAAATTATTCGCAAAAAAGCGTAACTGGCCGTATCGGTAATTCAATCTCCCCATCTGTCCCTATTTTTATCGAACTGAAAATAATTATCTTTGACCTACTTTCGCACATCCACAATGAATTATACATTACTTCTTTGCTACGAGAAATTATAACCAGAAAAGACGCGTGGGTGAAAATAAAAATTTCACAATCTCCCTCGATTTTTCATTTTCTTTTTCAATATGTCGTTTGATATTTCTCTGTAACAATTACCGCTCTCATTGACTACTTTACAAAAGACGAACCACGAGTAAAAAAAATATGTTTCGCAGGGGTTTACAACATACGTGTCGATATTCCGATTGCGCCACTCTTTTATCGCAAACTCCCCCCGGCAAATGCTTCGATGTCCTTTTTCATGTTTGAATTCCCAGGTCCTTTTTTCCCCGGTAAATACACACCGGAATATCGAGAAAACTTGTCGGAGCTTGGCCGAGCCTGGAAATCTGAGGTAGGGGATATCGAAGTCGGGGGTATTTTGTCAGGGACACTTGGTACATATACTTGGCGTTGCACGGAGGTGCACATGGTTGCGGGTACGGTATGATTCCCCGGAATCGGCTTTGCGGCGGTGAAATATATCACTGCTTTTGTAGCTTTGATTCCGGCCTGCGTTGAAAATAGGGGTCAGTAGTGTGCGGAACGGCCTTTCAGCCCACGACGATACACCGTGGTAGTACTCGTGGAAAGAACGTTTTGGGTTTTGCCGCTTCCAGTTCGTTGGGGACAACGTTACGTCACTAAAAATATTACGGCCCGATGGTATGGACGCGTTTTGCCTCCTCTAACAATTTGCGATTACCGCGAAAATATTCGGCACTGGGCTAATACGGGCGATTTTTCAACTTGCTTATCTATTTAATTATTTTTTAGTTCGTATACTTATTACGATAGATCGATAACTATCATCACGGTACTAAAGAATACAGATTGTCTTGGATTATTTAACGCACCCCTAGTAGCATAGAATAAATTCTAAATATTTCTTTGTAATTTTTGCTAAATATCTCACGCGACAGATTTTTTAAAATTTCATGTAGATTTCATTCGAAGATATTTGTAATATTTACTGAAATCTCAATGACATTTTTAGTTTCAATAATTTATAAACATATAGAGAAATATTTTCTAACTTATTAACATAATAAAAATACATTTTTTACTTTACGACTATTATCGGACACTTCATTTGGTATCCATAAACACGAGAAATTTTTGTAATATTTTCGTTCCGCTATTTCATTATGGGAGCAAAACGTGTGATTTTGATTTTAAATATTTTTAAAACGTTTATAATGTATTTGGCAAATAATATTTAAAAAATACTCGTTTTAAAATGAAACGAAATGTTTTGTATATCTGGTAGAAAAGAGATAATATTCTAAAGTAAACGTTTGGCAAATATTTCAAATGTCTGCTAAATATTTACAAAATATACGATATTCGTTAAATATATAGAAAATATAGGACAAATATTTTGTGCTACTAAGGACATACCAACGGGATGAACCATAAATAAAGTCTGGGGATTTAAGTTTGTTTGCAGGACGTTAAGGAGGAGGGTATAAATAATGCAGATCAAAATTTCACATCTTCTTAGCATATTGTTGCATTTTTGTGCAAGTAAAAATGAGTCTTGTACATTTTGACGAAGAAAATGATTGAATATACCTCATTTTGCTAGATCGTGTTGGAGTTGATTTCGAGTACCTTACAGATTCAAAAATGAGAAAAAATTGGCACATTATATTTACTACATCTACTTATACATTCGTTGGTTGATGATTTACTTAATTTTACTTGAAATATTCTAAACAAGGATTTGATTTCTCGGCTCGTCAGTAAATTATTTTTTCATGTATTGGGCTCGAGTAGCTTAGTCAACTCGCTGAAATTATTTTTCGTCTGATAAGCTTTAATTTAAATGCAAAAAAGTTACGCAAATACAAAGTAATATCAGCCACCCGCCTCAATATTTCTCTGTGCAGATATTCATATGGTTTTATTTTTACAGAGAGAACTGCAATATCGAGTCAATATCTGAATCAATAGGAAAGAGCAGACCGCAATTCCACCCTTTGCAGCATCACCTGTCCAGAGGTGTACCTAGATAAATACCTACGCGAGGTAAGTACTTATCAAAGACATCGCTCCAGGCGATAACGTACATTTGCATAGTACCTGTTCCAAAAATAAGGCAAAATCCACCGTCTAAAATCCCCACGCACAAAATTTCCCAAAACGTTACTATTTAATACCTTTAACCAGGTCACGTCCTTCCGCGATTGGTCCGAAAAGCAAGCAAACAAGGGAGGCCGATTACCGGTAGAAACCACTCGAAGAAGAAAAGCTGGAAAGTAGTTAGGAGGTTGAAAGTGAGTCGCGCTATTCAAGGGGGCCTTTCTTTCAGGAGAGAAAGTCGGAGCAAGGCGGGAAAAGTCGATGGGAAGGATCACGAGGAGGTAAAGGAAAAGAAAGGAAAAAAGGGACGCTCGATGAAGGATCCCGAGTCGGTCGTGCAGGATGTAAGAGGTCCTTCGTCGGATGGCATTAAAGTTATCCCGCGGATGCTGTCATTGAAGAGCCTCGAGGGACGCTACGGTATTCAGTGGTCCCCCAAGGGTGTAAGAATAGACACGCACACAGAGCGCGGCCACCTTCGTAAAGTGCGAGCCCTCCAGGCCGAGGAGGAGGCAGATAAAAGTAACGTCGTGTTACCTTACCGGGTACTCCCGCGGCCCCGTGTGCGGCCCCGTGTGCGGCCCCGTGTGCGGCCCCGTGTGCGGCCCCGTGTGCGGCCACAGGGCGTCTCGTGCACCCGGGCACTTTCTGCACGAGCCATACAAGTACAGCTTCCGTGGGAGATCGTCGATAGGCCATGCCCCTGGACAAGTGGCTGAGAAACCTGTTACTGCTCGGCGATCTCGGTGCCAAAAGGGAGCCCCACCCTTTTTTGCACGTAACTACGTCCTACGTACCTCCTACGTACTTACTACGTCCTACGTACGTACGTGGGCGGGCACAAGCCAAATATCGGGATTCCGAATCCGCGAGCCACGAGATTTACGCTGGCTTCGAGGAGAGGCCAGAACTAGAGCAAATATTCGGGAACCGTGTCTCGCGACGTACAAACAATGCGGTCCTTTTCGAGGGATCGAATCTTCTCAAGGAAGCCGTGGACCGAGTCCTTTTGGAGAAGATCCTTGTCGTCGGTCAATGGCGGTGTCGCCATAAAGAGATATGGGCTCGGTGTGATAATTTATATACAATATAGTAATTTATTACATATACTTTTCATATCGTTATACTCATTGTTCGTAGAATGTTTTTATTGTCCGATTAAGTGCTGTATTTATTAGGACGTTTGAGATGTTTTATTACATTCTGGGATATTAGAAAATCTCTGTATGGAATATGTGGTACTGGGAGCAATACGTATATGCGGTGATTGCAATCATATCGACCCAGTGGTATGGCTATTAAATGATATAGTATAAGCATACCCCGAACGTTATTGTATATTGTTAGAAATGGAATGCCACGTATGCCTTACGAGTGCCCAGAGAAAAAAGAAAAATAGCCCATGGCGATGCCAGCCACTGCAACGTTTTCGCGGCTTAAGAACAAGAATTATTATTGCGGCTGCAAGATGCTAGTGCTGCGGAGCATTGCGAGTATTCCAGCGGTGATGCGTCTTCTCGAGAGACGCGGCGGTTGCCCGAACAGCCGCACGATTGCGAGAACAGATTTTTCCGCAGATAACCATTTACTCCCTTCAAGTTATCGACTCCATTGCGTACGTCAAAATGTTCCTATGCAAGGGGAATACATTTATATTAATTCTCAACAGAATACAAAACGTCAAGTTTACCGACGACCGATCGAAAGAACTCTGAATACAAATTATGAATTTTAATTGGTAGTTCGGTAACTATAGGTACCTTTAATATCTTCTAATTTATGAGTTACAATTAAACGTGTCAAATAAAAGTTACACGGCAGATGGGCCCATAATATGGCGTTAACTCGGTATCCAACTTCCTTCGAAATAAGAACCACCACGTGGGGTGATAACAAATATGCGGAAAGGGAATACAATTTCGGGCGCATCGTTACGGAATCCGTTTCTTTGCCCGTTCGAGAAAGCTCGCTTCTCCGCTTCGGGGGAGGAACTCCCGCAATTAACGACCCTTCCCGTCCATTAGCGTTTCGGCAACGACACGCAGCATCTCGTCCCTTTGAAAAGTCAAAAGCCCGACAGCCGTCGACCCCCCGCAGCGGACGAAGCCCTCGGCAAGCAGTCCGATCGATCGTCGATCGGCGAATCCCGGCCTATCTTCTCCCCTAACGAGCCGCGGCCACTTGTCCCGGGCGTACTTACACTTATTGCGCACTTAACTTATTGGCTGTAGCCGTGACGGGTAACCTTTCGGTATGTCGCGTACGACCCTCCGTCACGAAGACCGAGCGTTATCGTCCGCCGGCACGCTCGTCTTTTTCCCCTCGGTGGAGCCCCCGAGGGGCGGGGGTGGCGCCTCCGCTCGCCTCCCCTCATTTTTGCGCCTTTGGCAAGTTCTCACCGAAGCGATACCCACCGACAAACGCGGGCCCGGTAAGCCGGAGCGCGACGCGCCACGCCGGCCCGGAAGACGCGAGCGAAAGGGTGAGGTCGTTGCTCGCCGAGGGTGCGAGAGAGAGAGGGAGCGAGCGCGCTCGCCGCGGGAGGAAGAGAGAGGCCAGCGGCGGAGATTCGACGAGGGGAGCAAGAGCGGAGCAAGAGGGAAGGAGGACCGCAGACACGGGACGGCAACTTCGCGAACGATCGTTAGGTTACAAGGCGTGAGTGGTTTACACAATGGGCCTCTATTTGTAATACAAGAGGCGTTTAATAACTCCGGGCCGTTTAACGGCGAAAGCCATTCGCCCTCGTAATCCCAACCACCTGCGAATTAGCCGGGAGCGCCGCGCGAAACTCGGGGTGTAACGATGGCCGCGTTCTTCCTCGCGTATGCAAACTACCCCTCCGAGCACTCGTAACGAACCCTGTACAGAGGAGGGACGCGCGACTGAAATCTTAGCCGCCCCGAGATGGGTAATCGTTCCGTTAAGGGGTTTAGGAGTCGATTCGGGGAGAGGTTATGGCGACGCCGCGCTCCGGGGACGGGGAGTGATTTCTTATTTCATTATGCGAGGTTATGTCCCCTGTTACGTTCCGCCCTGTAATGGATGGGCGAGGAGAGGCGCGATTAAATCGTTAGGCTCCGGTAGGTAAGCTAGGTGTTGTGTCACGTTGTAACGGCGTTATTAAGTCGCTACCGATCTTAGGTGGCTCGTGAACGAGCGGACGGGTAAATTTCTGGTAGAGATGTTCCAGTTTAGGACGTGGAACCTAAGATTTGTTGGCCGAGATTATGAACGTAGTTCTTGTAATAGGGGTAATTAGTTATCAAGAATGATTTGAAATCTATGGGTTGTCCGTGAACGCCCGGTCGCGTAAATTTCTGAGCGGGATGTTCGCGTTTAGGACGCGATACCTAAGATTTGTTATCTGGGATTACTAACGCGGTTCTCGTAATGTGTGGTAATTAGTTATTAATAATTCTTTGAAATACATGGCCGAAAAAGGGAACGTGTCGATTTTATGAAGGAGACGTCGAGTGCCGTCGCGCTAACGTTCGAGTTATAATTCTTAATCAAGGATTACTTAACCCGTGATTAGAGTTAATCGCTCGATTTCCGATCACTAATCCAAGATTAATTAATTCCTATAGTTGTGATTTCGCGTTAATCGCGGCTTGAACACCCGGCCCTAAGATTTGTTATTTGAGATTAACGCAGTTTTTATAACATTTGATAATTAGTCATTACTTGAAATTCTTCGGTGGCTGGGGAAAGCGCGTTGTATACGTTATCTTTCTGTTAAAGTATAATGCCATAGAAGAGACCCTTAAATCAACAAAGGCACGGATTAACGGGCGACTCGGGATAAGAAAAAAACATAAACATCGCAGTACTATTACACACGCCCCTTTGTTCCTGCTGATTCCAGGCTTCAGTATCGTTTGAGTCCTCTCAGGTGGCAGTTCGGAGCGTGAGGTCAATTTATAGCCAGGTAACGTATAATTTCACTTGAGCATCTTCGGTTCAGAGCTTCCGACTTTGATCTACTTAAACCATTCTTCTCTTTCCCAGATGTCTTCGGCAACGTCAACTACGTTCCTCAGTGCGCGCTACACAATCTTTGCGAGAGTCTACTATACTGCAAACTGCAAGTACGATTTTCGCTATCATAACATTTTTTTTACCCTCTTAATATTCATTTCGAAAGCAAGAGAAAAACAGTTTCGTGTATTTTCTGCCGATGCTTGTTTCATTAACACTAGAACTACCAAGACCAGTCAAAATGACTGGTTTCAAATGGCTCATCCTATAAAAAAAAAATTCGCCCGTAGTTCTAGTGTTAAAAAGGTATCGCTACCGAAGCGACTTTTCTTTATCCCCACGTGAGTATATTCGTTCAATTAACCCTTGCAAGTAGACATTTTCTCGGGGAATACTCATTCACAGATTTACAACCTATTCTACAAAAATTCTTGTTCGAAGCTCCGGTTTCTCCTACACATTTCATCTAAGCACGATGATCGTTTAATATTAATTTTTTTCCCTTGCTTTCTGTCCTTCGCAAGCAGCATAGATTTTTACTGTCAGTGTACCGTTGACATAGAATTACTCTTTAACACTAGGTTTACGGGCGTTTTTTATATACCTGTTTCTACGAGCACCCGTCAAATTGACGGGTAAACAAAAACACGCATTTTCTTTAAAAAATCGATTCATTCAAATTAAGTCTGCATTAAACAACACTAGGCTTTACGTTTAAATAAATTATTAATAAGTAAAAAGTCCTTTTTTAAAAATTATCACGGAAATGATTGGAATGCTCGTCCTCTCATCCTCGGAGTCAGAACTAGAAAGAATGCGCATCCTTTTCTTGCTACGACACCCTTTAAAGAAGTTTTCCTCTTCACTATCCGAAGATCCTTCTATCTCTCCACTTTCAATGCAAACTTTCGCTCTCATCTTCGCCTTACACTCACTGCAACGAAGCAAATATATATGGATTGTTTATGAAATTAGCTAATCCGTCAATTTGACGGGTTTCGTAGAGATAGGTATACTACATACAGATTTTAATAATTAGAAGGCTTAGGAAAAAATAACTGTGTGTACAAATTCTTTGGATGAAATGATTAATTTACGATAAAAAAATGGTTAAAATGAATGCTATGGTTTTTTCGGTATTTCTTTTCGAAGTTTGAATTCCGTCAAATTGACGGGTCCCGTAAATCTAGTGTTAAACTAGAACCACGGGCAAAGAGTAAACGCGAAGCCAAAGCGGCGAGTAAATCACGGAGATAATGAACGATGAAAGGAAAGTAGTTAGAATTAGTGGCGAAGTTGTTGAAAAGTTTGCGCAACGAGTATTTGGTCACATCGCACATAGGAAAGTGCGAATCTGTCGGATGATGAAAACCTCGTAGGTCCATGCAGTAACGATATTTGCGTAGGACGCATGTGTTATTCAGTGATCACCTGAGCAATTAAGCCCGCGAGGGTCGGATGTTTCGAAATGGCTCCAGTATTCGCGCATCCATAGAATAACGGCCAGCCGCGGACGTTAGTTGCCATTCAGGAAGGAGATTTGGTCGGCATAAATCATTTTAATGCACTCGGTGATTCCCCCAATGTGACGTAGAACCGTAACGTGGATCCGTTACAAGATGGAATTGTTTCGCCGAGGCTCAGCCGATTGTAAAGAACGTCGAATCGTTCCGATGTCGACTTAAGCCGGGGAAATGGCAGTTCGGTTGCAATAGTACTCGTAAATCGTAGGGAGCTGCGAGATCTTTCCTTTAGCTCCGAAAAGAGATTAACCCTTTAAGTGGCTAATAAAGTCCAGGCAGATATACTAATACAGGCCAATTTCGCCTTTAGTACCTTTATAGAGTCCGCTTTATTGCCTCGGGGCTTGTATTTATTCGTAACGTTTAACACCTCTCGCTTTGGTGTCGAGCAGTTCGCGTCCCGACTCCCCGCGGGGCTGTCCCTTAATCTGCAACTTTACATTTTAATTCAAGTTAAACGGATACTTCCTAATTATTTGAAAGGGGAAAATGAAACAATCTTATATATCAATTATTTATCCTGAACAAGTGAGCGCACCTGGTTATCGTTAATAAATGTTTCTCAGTATTGGATTTAGCTACGTCGATCGTTTGTAAATTCGAGAAGACTTCCATCGTTTGATTTGAGATAAAAAGGATAATGTAATTTACCTGAAATAACGCTATTTGTCAGGAGTATTAATGCATTCGCATTGGCTCATTTGCAGATCAATGTTTCGAGCGTAACATGTGCGTCAAATGTCAGATTTCCGGGGCGAATGCGTTAACGGTGTCGTTATCCCATTGAAGTATATACGAATTCGTATTTTTTTTTTGCGGTAAAATTGGAAAAACGGGTTAAAATAGAGAAAGCAGTTAAATACTCTACGTGTTGCTGATTCCTTTTATCCAAAGAAAATAGTTTATTATATAAAAGCGCAGAAAAATGATTGAAGTATATACGAATTCGTATTCTTTTTGCGGTAAAATTGGAGAAACGGGTTAAAATAGAGAAAGCAGTTAAATACTCTACGTGTTGCTGATTCCTTTTATCCAAAGAAAATAGTTTATTATATAAAAGCGCAGAGAAATGATAAAATTCATGAGACACGTACATTATCTATTTTATTATTTCAATACGAAGTACATTGATTTTTTCCAGTTTTTTAATTTATTTTTCAACGTTTGATAATCCTTATCTTCTCGTTACTCGAAATTCAAGTCCACATCGACAGGTATAACAATTGCCGCGAGTTGCTTATTATAAAAAAAGAAGTTCTTTATATAATTGGTGAGAAGAAATTGCGTTTCAGAGGAATTCGTTTGTATTTCTAGGAATCCAATACGACCGTTTTAACGATATCTTTTCTCCGTTGATGTACGAATTATTTCCGTGTTACAACTAGAAAATGAAAAGCAATTGAATAATCTACGTATTGCTCATTTCTTTTATTCAAAGTAAGTCAGTTTCGATACAAAAACGCAGGAAAATGCAGAAATTCATAAATATACATTAACCATTTCATTGTTTCTCTTGTAATTTTTTCACTCCTGATAATCCATAACATTCGAAATTCTGGTATACTTCGACACGTATAGCTATTGCCGCTAGTCGCTTCTTATCAAAGATAAAAAATTTCTTAAATCACCGTCGTGAAGGAAAGGAAGGAAAAGGCACGAACAAAAAATTGAGGAATTCGTTTGTCTTACGGGGAAGTTAAATCTATTAGTTTTTGCGGTGGAGCTCGAAAGATCTCGTGTAATTTCAGCGAACAAGGTGCGTAGTCATGTCGGCGCTTTTTGCACAACGCGGGGGTGTCTTAATGGTGGTTTGTGCAAGGGGAGAGGGGCGCGCGATGAAGGGAGGGTGGAAAACATCGAGTTTACTTTGTCGACGTCTCGGGCCATCTTACCCAAGCCTGAATGTAGCGTAAGCTGATGAAACAAGGGCGATTAGAGTAGCTCCGGTTGAACATTCTTCTTCTCAAGTATCGACCCGTCCCAGCTAACTAAACAGGGCGCGCGACTCTTCTGGTACCTGCCAGCGGGAAACTAATATAAGGAAGCCGGGAGAATTCTCGGGGAAAAATATTTTTTCATAAATATCAAAGCGGAAACCGGCCGCGGGAGTCGAAGTAACGCGACCCGGGGATCCTTAAGCTTGGGGTGCCGAATTAAGCTTGTTACCAGGGGCCATTAATTATTCATGTGCCGATCGTCCTCCCGACATCTATGGTACTTCGGTACTTGGTGTCAAAGCGCTTATAAGGTTCATTATAGGAAAATCCAACTGGGGCTGGATGATTGCGATTTGAAAACGATTCGTCGCATCCGATGGACCGATTTGCTGGATCTTTGGAAAGGCCCTGATTGAATCGTGACGGCTCCCTAGAAATGGAATGACCTATTGCGGTTTAAATGGTTTTATTTTTTTTATATATATATTCATCTCTCTAGGTTCTACTTCGTTTAACCTTCTCCTTTATTCGGGGCATCCTGCGTAACTCGGAAATATCTCGCTATTTAGTTTATTTGTTTGATTCCGGGCGGTTAAGTCGATTCGCGATGGGAGTTACCGATTGTAGGTTGAATTTCCAGTAGGTAGGTTTGTACACAGAGACACATGCGAGCGTTTGTTCGTGCTCACCACAATAGCAGCAGGAACGATACCTACTTACAGACAAAGCGTGAGCTCCCTTTCCACATTTGGCTTGTGCGTATTCTAACAGTTTCGACGGAGCCAAGTGAATTCGGGCAACGCAAACCCCTCCAATAAACTACGTGCGAACATGTGAGCAATCAAACTACCGGAAACACTCGCACATGTGCGCCGGTACATAGCGAAAAATTAATGTTATTAAATAATCCCATTTGTTGCGCGTCCCTAAGCACGTGGTCGTGAAGTTACCGCACGCTCGAGTGGGAGCAGTAACGTAAGATGCTTTCATCACTTTAAAGAATGAAACTTAATCTACCGATAAGCATTGCACCTATTCATATAAAAAGTGAATTATCTTAATTTTCTATCTAGTTTGGTGTTTCTTTTTTATGCCCATATTGATGTGGAATGGCTACGACTCGTTATTTGCAATATATTTAGTGGAAGGTGTTGGCAGTTTATAATTACACGCGCTTAATGGAATTCTCACCCTCGATGCATTTTGACGGAATTTCGTAATACATATTTATTTTTTGTCGATGTTATGCTTTGGGTAGAAGTAGTTCGCGTATTATATTTTAGCTACTTGAAGAATGCAACGTTCCTGGAATGATTATAAAAAAAAAAAAATTTCCGGAGAACATATTAAAAATTTGGCGATTAAGTCCCCCCGGTTTTTGTTTTACAGGACATTACCTGGACGTGAAGGTCTACACCGCCATGGTTATGGGGGATGAACGGTCGGTTCCGGATAATTAATTTTTTTCTCCGTTTGCACGATCATTTGTTATCATTTTCCGGGGGGTATATTAAAAATTTGGTGATTAAGACTATATGGTTTGTGTGGTACGTTTGATGGTCGGTGGAGTGTATCGTTTCTGTATAGGGGTACGTTTTTTTAGCGAGGGGGGGTTGAATCAAGAACCACCATTGTTTTTTTTTGTTTCAT